CACGCTCAGCAGGAGGCGCTTGCTCCTGCGGCCCCTTGGCTAGCTCAGTCTCCCAGCAGGGCTCCTGCCAGCCTCAGGCCCTCTCCCCCGCACAGAAGTGGGGACCCGGGACTGTGGGGCGCTGAGGAAGGAGCACCCTGGGATACCGCGTCCCAGGGCACCACGGGCAGGACCCTGGCCTCAGGCTAAGGGCAGGGAGGTGGGCTCCCTGCCCCAGCCAGTGACCTCAAGCAGCGTGGAGTCCTCACCTGGCCACCTGCCCCCGGGACCTGCCCCAGCAGGGCCGTGGTGCAAGGCCCCAGCGCAGGCAGGCGAAGCTGCTCAGCGTTTATGCCTGGGCAGCTGTGGCCTGGCTGCATGGGGGGCTACCCCCTGCTCTCCCTCCATGGGGGGGCTGGAGAGCCTTGGGGCCAAAGCCACCCCTGCCTCAGTAACAGCTTCCAGCCAGGTGGGTGCGGGCCCTGGCCCAGCCCAGAGCGGCTGCTCCCGTGGCCCACGCAGCACCCGCCTCCCCCACCAAGAGCTGCCCTGGCCTCGGGCCCCGCTCGCCCCTCCGGGCCCAGCACTGCCCCCACCTGCTGAGCTCCCAGGTCCGGACGGAGTTCCCGGCGGCGGCGTAGAGCATGGTGCCGGCGGGGTTGAGCGCGATCTGGTTGATCTGGTGCTCGCCCTGCGCGCTGGCGATGGTGCGGGTGGAGGTCCCAGCACAGGCGTCCCCGGAGATCACCTGGCCCGAAGACCTGCAGCAGGGACAGAGGCAGGGGAGGCTCGGCAGGTGAAGTGAGGCGGAGCGTGGATGGCAGACCCAGCCCGTGGGGCACCGAGGAGAAGGCTGGCGAGCGCCTGTCCCCGGCCACGTAGCAGATGAAGCAAAGCCACTTCCTGGCCACACGCAGCCAGTGGTGTCAGGCGGGGCCTCTCCCCAGAACAAGACATAAGAACAGCCAGACTGGGCCAGACCAATGGTCCATCGAGCCCAGGATCCCGTCTGCCCACAGTGGTCAGTGCCAGGTGCCTCAGAGGGAGGGAACAGAACAGGGAATCCTCACACGATCTCTCCCCTGTCGCCCATTCCCAGTCTCTAACAGAGGCTATAGACACCATTCCTACCCATCCTGGCTAATAGCCATCGATGGACCTAACCTCCATGAATCTATCTAGCTCTTTTTTGAACCCTGCTCAAGTCCTAGTCCTCACCGCATCCTCTGGCAAGGAGTTCCACAGGTTCACTGTGCGCTGAGTGAAGAAAAATCTTCCTTTTGTTTGTTTTAAACCTGCTGCCTGTTCATTTCATTTGGTGACCCCTAGTTCTTATATTGTGGGAATAAGTAAATCACTTTTCCTTATTCGCTTTTCCCACACCAGTCAGGATTTTAGAGACCTCTATCCTGTCCCCCCTTAGTCTCCTCTTGGAGTGGAGGAATGACTCCTCGTATCTTGCTCACCACACTCCTGGTAATGCAGCCCAGAAGCAGGTTTGTTTTTTTGCAACAGCGTCACGCTGTTGACTCATGTTTAGCTTGTGGGCCACCGTGACCCCCAGGTCCCTTTCTGCAGGGCTCCTTCCTAGAGTGTCACTTCCCATTTTACACGGGTGAAACTGGTTGTTCCTCCCTAAGTGGAGCACTTAGCAGATGGCTCATTGCCCATCCCTGATCCAAGCAACCATAGGAAGCAGGGTTACCAGAGCCCCCGAACTGCCCTGAGAGCAGAGCACCCAACCACGGAGCCTCCGCGAGCCAGGCCAGGCTAGTGACCAGCCCTTTGCCCTGGGCGCAGGCCCTGGCAGGGCAGCAGGGTGAGCCGGGCCGGGCCCGCAGGGCAGCCTCAGGGTGCCAGGTACCTACGTGAGGGTGCGGACACACTTGGCCGAGTCCCGGATGTCCCACACCTTGATGTAGGACGTGGAGACGGTGAACACCAGCCCCGAGTGGCTGCAGTACTTGATGGACACCACGTTGTTGGGGTGGCCTTTCAGCGAGGCGATTTCCTGGCCCGTCACCAGGTTCCACAGTTTGCAGCTGCGGTCTGTGGGGGGAGGCAGGGGCATGTGAGGCTGCGGGGCCGTCCCACAGCTCCCCTCCCCCTGCTCCTGGGGTGCCCTGGGCAAGAGGGGAGCTCAGTCCAGGCCCTATTGGTGCTAGGTGCAAGGTGAACATCTGGCCACTGGGGGCCGGGCAGGTCACCACACAGCTGTTCAGCCCGGACTGCTACCCTTTCCTGCAGTAGCTCGCTGCGGCTTAGGGCAGTGGTGGGCAAGATGCGGCCCAGGGGCCGGATCCAACCCACCTAACACTTGGATCTGGCCCGTGGACTGCCTCTGGCAGCTTTCCCTTTATAGCCTGCTGCCCGGGCCACTGCATTTCCAGGCGGTGGCCCAGGCAGCAGGATCCTATTGAAATTGCTCCCAGTCGCAGCGCTACCCCAGCAGGGGCCGGAGCCGTGAGCCCTTTCAATAGAAGACCACGGACCAAAATTCATTAAGTGGCCCCCCTGCGAAAATCATCGCCCAGCCCTGGCTGAGGGGTGCTAAGGCATCTGGTGCTGTCTGAGCAGGAGGCTCCTGTCCCTGCAGGTCGGGGCGGCTCCCCCTTTCCCCTTCCACTCCCCAGCAATCCCACCCAGCGCTCAGCAGCCGGCCCGCCTCCCACGCGCCCACCTTTGGATCCAGAGAAGAGCAGCTCGTCGGTGGCGTCCACGCAGAGAACGGGCTTGGAGTGTCCCTCGGCCACGGAGATGCACTGCAGCGGGGCCGTGCGGGCGCTCTTGGCGCTGCTCACTGGGTTAATGAGGCCCCTAGCGTGGGGGAGAGAGCACCAGGCCGTCAGCAAGACGCCGACCGTGGGACGCAGATGCAGCCAGGACCTGCTGAGCCCCATCCCCTTCGGAGTCAGGACCTAACGGGGCAGGCCGGCTCTAGACCCGACCCCAGAACCTCCGGGCTGGAATGAACTGGGGCTGCCCCAGCCACGCGTTGCGGCCAGCCCCGCTTCTCCAGCTGCCCTGTCCACTGTCAGTCGCTTTGACACACCGGGAAGGAGTCTCACGAGGCGGGTCGATGGCAGAGCCGGGAACGGAGCCCAGGAGACGGCAGAGGAGGGGTCAGACGGAGGTCCCAGAGCGCTGAGCACACGAGAATCAGCATCCGCGAGGAAAGAGCCCCGGGGGGAAAGCCCGTCATGGAGAAAGTCTCCAGAGCAGCTCCCCAGCCAGCTCTCCCAGCATCTCCCCTCCTCCCAGCGGGGCCGAGGGACGGTGGGGACACTGAGGCACAGGGTGGGGAAGGGGCCGGCCATCGGCCACACAGCACCGCTGGGGCAAGGTTGGAATAGGCTGTTCCAGGGCTGATGCCCCTCCTCTGTCTGATGCATGGGGGAGGGGAGTCGTGTGGCACAGATACTGCCCAGGCTGGCGCCGCTGGCTCTGCAAAGCTGGTGTTGCAAAGCAGGGCACACTGGGGGCAGAGCCTGCCCGCAGCCCCTCGGGAGGCTGCATTAAGGCGGAGCAACCCCCAGGCCGCTCTAATCCACATGGGAGGCTGCAGCCACGGGGGCCTTGGTGCCAAGATGCTGCATCGCAGGGATTGACTCTTTGGGCCTCAGTTTCTCCATCTGCACAATGGGGAGAAGGACCCCCCCGCAGCGGGGGCTGGGAGGCCGAGGTGCCGTTTGTGCCATGCTTTGAGACGTCTGACTTGAAGGCCCAGCCCGGCCTCTCCGGCAGCCCCAGGCTCCAGCAGCTGGGCTGCCCGGCCTCTCGGCGCTCCGGGGCCATGAAGTCCCTAGGCTACCGCAGTGCAAGCGATCGCCACGGCCCGCTGGGCCCTCGAGGCAGAACAGAGCATGCAGCTGCCCCCACCCAGTCACAGCCCCACACCCAGCCCCACACTTCCAGACCGTGGCTCAGCCCTGGAGGCGGAACGGGACTTCCACAGCCAGACGCAGCATGCGGGGGCTATGCGGGGAGCAGAGAAGAGGGGAAGGGACACAGCCAGCAAGAGCAGCACCAGGACGGAGTGCCGTTAGATTTAGCAAAGCAAGGCCGGAGCGTGGCCAGCCGGGTTCGGCATGCAGGGCGGGGGAGCAACGCAAGGAGGACAGAAAGCGGGCGAGCTGCGACCCAAGGAAAGCGGCGTGTACCTCAGCACCTCCGAGACAGAGGAGTCGCTGTCGTCAGACCTAGGGACAGAAAATTAGCAGGGTTACGGGAGAAAAAACTCCAGCGGGGGCGGCAGCGGAGTCAGAGAGTGGAGCGTTGTTACTGCGTCCAAGCCAGAGGGTAGAAGGGAGGAGCAGACAGAGAACCAGAGAGAAGGGGCAAAGGAGCAGAAGGGACACGCGGCTGGCACACCAGGCCTTTCAGGGCAGCACAGAGACCTCGCCCCGGGATCCCTGCGTCCAGGCTTGGTTTCGTCTTCCCGTGGCCCCCCGGCCCAGGCATCTCAAGACAGAGCTCTGGTGGCAGGGACCCACCTGGCCCCGGGTTCCCCACGGCTCTGGGCCGTTGTGTGGTTAACCCCCACGCCTGCTGGGTGCGGGGCACTGTCCCTTCTAGGGCCACCACCCCACTCCAGAGAGAACAACCAGTGCTCGGCAGC